TCACTTCATTGATAGTGAAAGCATCAGTCGACTGCCGAATAACAAGTGATGTTTTATCATCCTTTTCGGCATCGGTGTCATCTAAACTAAGAATTAAATCAAAATCTTCCTCTTCCAATTCAGCTTGAGCTTCCGCCATTTTTACTCGCATGTGTTCGAATATTTGGGGGTTCCCTTGCATCACAGACATATCAGGGCTCCTATGCTCGTTTCGCCGCCCTATCTTATAAACGCCCTGATGCTACCGAGCTCATATACGACTCGAGCGCACGATATAATTGTTAAATTCATTAATGCATTATCCCCGAGCCGACGGCGCGAAGCGCCGTGCGAGGGTACTAATTCCCCCCGGCTATTTCCACCCGGGGAAACGAAAGCATTAGCGAAGTCTAAAGTTCATCAATTATCGCGGGCGTCGGTGACCAACGATGGGTGGTCATCCTCACTGATCTCAAAAATATGGCGGACTGTGATGAATAGCGGATACTGATAGGTCCAATTTAAAGTTTGCATTATAACGACAGCATGACGACAGCGAAATAGCAAACATTTCTTGATTTGATGATTCATGAATTTCTTGCAAATATATTTCATTTTTGCTCGCATGTTTGTAAGATTTTGTAAATTTCAAAAGCTTTCTCATAAAGAAAAGGCGAAATAATCGGCTAAAAGAAAGGAGCCGACGTTAACGAGTGTAAGTTTGTTTTAAATATTGATTTTATAATGGATTTAAAACCCAACGGCCTTTGCGTATATTTCGTATAATAACATACCTAACATATATATGTTGGGAAATTGATAATTTTGTAATTAAAAGTGATATTTTTAGGCGATTTTTCATTTGTAAGAATATTCTTAAAAAATATGTACGCAGTGCGTACATGTGTTAGCCTCGAAAAGCTTGCCTAAAAAGATTGCATGAAAAACAAGAAGGCAGGAAGCGTATAGCAACATGAGGTGATGCTATGCAAGTTTTTAATTATTTGCATTATTCAAATGGTATAGATTTATTAGCATAGGACGACCAGTTGCCATGGCTAGCTTGCCACTGAATACTGTTACAATATATCATATATCACAGCTATTTCAATTAAGGTTGTCCCCAAGCAAAGCGGAAAAGTCGAATACGAGCGTGAAAGACTTTTGCTGAGAATTGTTATAACAACCCCCCGTGCGCGGGAAAATTAACACCACGCAGTAAACGCGTTTCCAAATTTTGACAACATGGAGGCTTGGGTCGGATGTAAAAGAGAAACAAATTAACCCGTGTATCCCTGTTCCGTCCAGGCATCATGTTTTGTTTGTATTAGCTTTTTTTAACCACAAACAAATGCTCAGAAATGCCAAGATCATAAATGTGAGATAACAAATCAATTTTCGCGCCATTTTTCTTATTATGACATGTGAATTGCCCCAGTATTAAGAAGGCTAATCAATTAAGTACGGCTCATGAAAAGGACGCCTGTCTAAATCAAAATTAGAAGTTCGCCTATTTTACTCGAGTGAAATATGAATTAAGTTCGGCTCATGAAAAGCACAGCGTCTAAGCCGGGCCAAATTGAAATAGCTGTATATAAACAATATAGTACTTGAATGAATCATTGTGAGCTATCTCTAAAAGTATCCCCACGAGGCCACTGAACTCGACTTCGTCTTGGTGAATATTCCCTGATAATCACCTCGCCTTCGGTGAATAATTGTTAAATGTTGATCGGGTAGGATTAATAACTTGCTGACCGAGAGTGAGGGCAGTACGGGAAAATATCCAACCGAGGTCTTGCTGTACTGACCGAGCGATAGCGAAGTCAATACAGCAAGACCGAGGTTGGATATTTTCCCGTACTGCCCGAACGGTTGAGTTCAGTAAGTTTTTTTATTATATGGCATTGTACCTTTGTAAAAAATGGAAGAAAACGTCACGCGAGGGCAAAGTACAAAGTCCGAAACAGTTTGCAAAAAAAAGCAATTGTGAAAAATGTTCTTTGGTTAGTAAACTGCTCTTCAGTACTTTTTATACAAAATACTAACACAGTTTGGATAGTATTTCAAGAAAAATACGAGGTATTTCGTCATTTAATCAAAGAAAACAAATATGAAACCAATAAAATTCAATAAAGTTACAAAAACAAGTACGTTTTTAGGTCGCTTCATCTCATATTTATGTCTCTTTTTATCTAACAAAAGCAGAAATTTTCAGGGAAAAATTATAAATCTGTACATGTGGCTATTTCAGTTGCATTTTTTTATTTAGGATGATGTCAAAATCCTCCTGGCTATCTGCAAATAAATTTGCAGCTCTTCGCATTGTCAAAACACAACTATTCCTGACTGCTTTTATTGTTATAAACATTGTAAAATTTACCTTGTAATTTTGACTTTCGCTAACAATGGAGAAAGTTCTTTAACCACAGCAGTTGCTCCTTTTCTTTAGTTTAGGTTTATTTTTCTTCGTTTTGAATAGTTTTGAAAGACTTTTAGACACTTTTTGCTGTTTGACACTCGGCACTCGTCGCTGAACAATAAAAATTGCGTATTGTCCTTGGACAATACGGGAAAATCCTGCCTCGTCAGCAGCCAATCAAATTGCACGATTCGTCAAAACAAATGATTGCCATATAATAATATTTCATATTGTGCTAACAATGGACATTGGACATATCTGATATCTCCGAGATATACTTTTACAGACCGTCTTACCTTGAACAAAAATCGGTTGACATGTTATTTAATACATGCATATTAAGCATATTACATGTAAACTGCAGCACTGGGTTGTTTACATAATAGAAATATCTTTAACAAACATTCCGCGTTTGTTTTTAAAACGTGCTGAAAGCACATTGACATCTACAATGAACACTATATAAACGAAAAGTATATTTCGACTGCTTGTATGCTATAAATATAAACTTTAAGACGATCAGTGGCCGTGGGCTATTTCTAAAACATGCTATTCATGAAATCATAATACTGTTTCAACAGCTCTATATCGAACACTAAACAGCAGATCTAAATGTAAATGCCTTCATGTATACACCAGAAAGAAATAAAGCTATTATTGTCGATCGTTTGCATCGTGAAAATTTATAACGACGTCGGCGCAGGAGGCTAGTAAAATATTAAAGCCCCTAACTGAAATCTTAAATGAGACTACATTATGAATGTCAATGAAATTGTATTATTGTAAAATATACCTGAGGGCACTGCATAACGTTTATATGTTACATAAATGATAATGTCTATCAAATCATCAATAAAGCACATGTCACAGAAGTTGCAAAACTGACCAAAACATGGACTGGACTGGACAGTTGGACTGGACAGGACAGTTGGACTGGACAGGACAGTTGGACCATGGCCAGAAATCACGGACATTTTCATTTCTCAGGTTTCACGTTACCACGAGCACCCACGCAACAATGGCTGCGCAATGCCCTATGTTTATTATCAGGCGAGCGGAGTATTTTCAATATAGCATGCTATATATAAATCTTTGAATATTTGTTGAAATTGGTTCCAGAAGAAGCGGTCGTATAGTAACACATTAAGAAAAATAGTTCTCATTTCTTTGCATACTCGCTCTGCTTTTTGCGATTGAATATTACAACATTTACCTCACTTTACATAGGAATCTATAAAGGTTTCTCGCTCAAAAGGCTATATCTCGTAATATATTCAATTATCGAAATTTGTTGAAATCATTTTATTTTGACGAATAGTATAGCCTTGCCTTCCGCCGTTTATTATTTTGTTACACCCGATAAAAGCTCTGCTTTTTTGTTTTGAAATTCGCAAGCCGGTGCGTTAACATGCATATTATAATATTACATCGCGGTCGAAAAGTGATATTCCATTCGCTTGCCAAACTCGAAATATTGATTGCCTTGCTACATGTTTGGTACCAAAATACTCGTCGAAAGCTTCTCTTTTCGTTCCCGTAGTCATTGCTTAGCTACATCCTGAGCCTGGTAAACTAAAGGCCACAACTTGAGTGCATACTTCATGCTTTGCTTTATAAACAACACCCACGCGAATATTTGAAATTCCGGATGCTTAGATAGGTCGTAAAAGGATAATTAGGAATTCTTGTGGATAAACGGAAAAGCCGCTGACTGACTGGTACGCTTGCACAATGTCCGTCATTTCTGGCCATGTGGACTGATTTTTACATTTTCTCTAGTCTTGACTTGCACGTCAGCCGCCATGTCAGGTGGCATGGCACAAAAGAATATTTTATCACAGAGCATATATACCATGACAGACATGTCCATTTTGTGATTTTATTAATGAACATTGCCTGGTGTGTACCAGGTGGAGATTGGTTGCAAGTCAACAATATAACGTTTTGCACCTGAATTACTTTTGATTTTCTGAAATTTTTTAATACTTTACCTTCGCCGATGACTTCATTTTATAACCGCAGTCGGGAATTATCTGTCTTTGCTTTGGGTAGCCTGTTCGCGTACGTATTAAATTTCGATAGTTCAGTCTGCATGGCTATGGGCGTAGGAAGATCGACAATTTTTTTTTTTGGGGGGGGGCTCATATTCATATATTCATGTTCGCAAACTGTAAAAACAATCAATTTCAAAAGAAGTAAATGATGGAGAACACAAATTTAAGAATATGAGCT